GGTGCACCGGAGCTGTATGTATGTACTGTCGAACTGTATGGCTCTGATAACGAACGGACGAACTTTTGCTCTGCAACATTGAAAGGATATTCCCTGACAACCCCACGTCTGGGGGCGAGCTATGAACCTCGATCACATCGGGCTGAATTATCTTTCCGTGTCTCTACTTTCTCCATCTCGACCATATCGCTCCTGAAGTTGTTGCAACTAACACGTTTGTAGCTGTAGGTAGGTAGAGTCGGGATTTATATAAGAGTAACCTGAGACAGATTCATGATACGTATCCGTACTGTTTCCCCTCAGGGTCCTCACACCAGTCTCCAAAACAGAGGACGACAGACACCCTCGTTACCCCAGCGGCTCATCGCCGCAAGCCGAGCATCCAAGTCAGACATTTTGAGACATTCGCCATGTTGAGGTAGGTGCTTGAGAGCTGTGGATGAAAGATGAAATTCTAGATACTTGTCGAGTCTCCCTTGACTGGGTCTAGGAAATAGACTGAGAATGAGACTCTCGCCTAGACTTCTGTCGCCATCTCTAGCATATACTGGACGTGCATGCGTGTGGAGTACATATGCATGCATGCATATACGGTACGGTACGGAGGTAGATAGATACGTTCACCTTACCTGTGTAGATGGATGCAGTTTTAACTGGCTGACTGGCTAAACACCAAAGGGGATCAACGTACTGCTCGCCAAAGCCTTGATGTTTGACCGACCAGCCCTGGGCTCAATCTCACCTACCTTACCTTAGCTATTGCAACACGGTGCCGCTGAACTGGGGAAGATTGAGGAGTACCCGAAGATGGGATCGGATATCAGGAAGATCATTGGATCTAGGCAAAGGGTCCCGTCTTCACCCGCCAGTCGCAACGCAGATAGATACACCTCTAGTCGCGGTAGCTCAAGAGTTGAGTTGCAGCAATATAATTACGATACATACATACATACAGTCGGTCTCTGTTGGTCACCTCAGTATTGCGACACTGCACTCCCCCTGTCCCCTCACCGTTCCCCCCAACTACCGATAATCTGACAGTAGCCGCAGCGGCACTGTATCTACGTCCATCTGTGTCTGTCTGTGTCTGTGTCTGTATCGCAATCGTAATCGTTCTCTGAAGTTTAAAGGTCCTCTTGCTAGTGAGGAGGTAGGCGATTGAGCGCCATCCAAAATCATCTCATCGGTCCCTTGACATGATAGAGTTTATGTTGTTGTCAATGTCCTTGGACTACAATCCAAGTTAAGCACTTCATTTAGTAGGAATGTACTCTGCCGTACTGCCGTACTATAATTTTGGTAGCAATTGACTTGCGGTCTCAAGGATAAGGTCAAGGCCGTCTCTGGTGGCTTTCTTATCTCCCCCGCCCTCCCTTCCTTCTTCCCACAGTGACCTGAGTGATTGATTGACCTGCCCGTTTCTTTCCACAGAGTCAAACCCAAATCAGAGCCTTAAGTACCTACCTAGGTACCCTAGGCGAGGAAAGAAAACTCATGACCTTGATCCTAAATGACAAAAAGACTTACATAACTTTACATAAATTTAGGATATCTTTTGCTGAGTTTATTTTGACACCTTATATCAAGGTCTGGTATTTTCTTGCTCCTCGAGGGTACCTATTCCATCATCGCCAGACATTCTGACTATCTCACCTTTCCTATAAACCTAAGTACCTACCTACCTACCTACCTACCTAGGTAGGTAGTACTCTTCTCATCGTCTTCCATCACTGCAACTTATTCATTCCTCAAACTTCATCCTCCTCCTCCTTCTTTTCAACAACCACCCGGTTGGACCTCGCCGAACCTGGGGGGCAGATTCAACCACCAACCACTACGCTAAACACCCACTGTAACCGTCTGCCCAATACCATCGCAGCGGGCGCAAGACTCCGCTATCCGGCCGGTGACCGAAGTGTCAGTGCATAACGAACGAACAGTGACCAGCGAGCGCAGAAGCACACATTGACTGGACTCGACCACACCTGGACGGTCCCCACGAAATTCGTCACCGCAACTGGGTCTGGGGGAGGTCTTCAGTCGCTTCAACGCCACCACGCCTCGACCAGGTTTAGCTCATCCCTGGCCTGCCATCCCCATCCCTCCATCCATCCATCCAACCCTCGTACAGTACACGCCCAGAAAACACACACACCCACAACACCAGCGCCGGGTTGCGCTACGTACTCCTCCGGTACAGTACGCTAGAAACTAGCCCCAAACAGAACCTGTCCACCTGCCCCCAAGGACCCCGGCTACGGCTATCGCCTGCTGTTTGCTCAAGCACTTGTCCGGGCTCTTTAGGTTGACTCTACGCCTGCAACTACAAACTGCTATAAGCCTGCCCCCCACCCACATTGTGAAATCCATCCTATTCTCTAAACTTCGTGCCCACGCTAGATCTTTGACACTCGTCAATTCATCTCAAATCGATAGCATACCTAACATACGTTTTGATTGCCTTTGCACTCGTCTGTACCCATGAGTCTCTAACCTCGAGCCCTCCCAACTTCACCTTTCCTGGGTGCTTCGGCATTGACAAAGATTCCTTCGGTTTTCCTCAAACTCCCATCATGGCTGTCGTTCTTCCATCCGACGACAACGGTTACTTCGCCGGCTCCGGCCTACGACGCTCACATTCTCACTCCAACTTCATCTCATCGAATTCACCATTTTCCACTTCATCTCACCTCAGCGACCATTACAAGCCTGCATCCAAGTCTTACGCCGAATCCAACTCTTCATCTGCTCCCTCGTCTCCCCGTACCATCCACGCCGACTCTGTCGATCTCTCCTACGCATCTACTCCTGCCACTAATCTCTCCATTGCCTCTGACTACGACGACAACATTGGACTCGCTGAATCACCCGAAGATCACTTCATGTTTCCATCCTTCGCGCAGGAGAAGTTTTATGTCCACCAAGAGATCCGCCCTGAAATCCATCATGATGACAACCTAGAGCCACCGCCCAGTCCCCGGACCGGCGACTCTTACACTGTTTCTCCCGCGGAACACGAGAACTCTGAAGACGTCTCTGATGATACATCAAGGCCCGAAACGCCTGAACATGAAAAGTCCGAACATGCAGAGGACGACACTGCAGTGTCAAGTCGACCATCCCGCCAGGTGGATTATCTATCTCATGAATGGAGAGAGGAGGATATCTGGTCATCATGGCGATATGTCGTCACTCGACGTGGGGAGTTCCCCAACAGTGCTCGGCTAGAAAATGCTTCTTGGAGGACCTGGATGAAGGCCAAAAACAACCTCAAGACTATCTCACCCGAATCTCTCAACTGGTTTGTTTCCCTCAGAATATTCCCCCCTAACTCTACTAAAATGCTTACGTGCCCTAGGCTTAAAGATTGTGATGTCACCTGGCTCTATGGCCCATTACAGTCAGGACCCAAGAATCTGCATCCTACGCATACGGAGCCTTCAAGCGTGTCGTTATCCAAAGCTGACTCACTGGTCAACCTCAACAAGAAGCCTATCCTCAAGAAGAGAAGCATGTCCGAAGTTATGCTTCAGCGATCATTGTCTACAGCTTCGTTATTGAAGCAGGCCACCGCAGCTGTCAAGGCCCAAGAGACAAGAGGAATTCTTCGACCCCATCTTGGTCGCTCATCAACAGATTACTTCGCCTATCCCTTCGCATCACGTCGGTTGAGCGGAGACAGCAGCAGCGTTGCTCCTTCAGTCGAGTCATCTGGAATCATTTCCCCCAACTCTGAGCGAAAACACATTCATTTCAACGAGCAAGTCGAGCAATGCATAGCTGTTGAAGCCAAGGGCGAAGATGAGGATGAAATGGTCGATGAGCACTTTGCTTCAGACAGCGACTCAGATGATGGTGTGATGATGAAACGTGTCAGGACCAAAAAGAGACCCATTTCTCGACGCAAGACTATGAAGTCAAAACCAGCTGCTGAAGGCAAGACAATTGCCATGCTGCCGTCCACCACCCTCAAGTATCGGGAAGACACTCCTGAGCCACGAGAGACTGCAATGAAGCACTCCCGAAGCCCTCTCATGTCTCCTTCATCTTCACAGGAGACACTACGACCTACCAAACAGTCAGGAAAGTTTTTTTTCGGCGAGGAAGACCACGATGATGGCCTTGACGACGCTTTGTTAAGTCCCCGGTCAGGGTGGGCATCACCTCCCCACGAAGGTGCCAATGGAGGCCTGAGCAGATCCATCTCGTCAGGTAGTCTTTGTGAGGAGCCTGCGGGCATGCGACGCACACCATCTGGTATGTTTATGCCTTATGAGGAAGGCGAAATACAATCCGGAGACGGCATTTTCGGCCGAGTTATTGACACAGTCAATACAGCCCGTGATATCGCCCACGTTATTTGGAACGTTGGCTGGAGGAAGTAATGGATACACAAGCGTTCGACTTTCTTTTAGCGACGCGATTGGAATTTGAACAAGCTTATAAGCTTGTGACTCACTCAGTGTGAGCTGAAACGACGCCATGACAACATAAAAAAAAGCGCATCTATATACGGGAATTTCGGAGATAATTGGCATTGATCCGCCGTACCACTGCGACTATTACGAAGTAAAGGCTTGTTGACAGACAGCCTGTGCCAATGTCATGACGACATCTTGGAAAGTGGCCCCGGAATCGCATTCCTATCTTTCATACAGGGTCTGTAACAACGAATGGATGGAGATGAAAAGGCTCAAGAAAAGCACCGTGTTTATGGTGGAAGAGCTGGGGTGACTGCGAGGGATTTTCATGGGCAAAGGAGAGGACCATTTTTCAGGCAGCTCACACCAAGGCGCCATTGGTCTTCAGGCTTTTCTTTCTACGAAGGATTCAACCTACCCCGTGACGCCCCCGGTACCCGGGATCCGACTACGAAATCGGGGCAACGGGAAAAGTCCATTCCAGAGGTCACAGGCCCGGACGATATTCGGCATTATAATTTTTTGTTCCCGTCTTTCTTTTGTGGCAAGGGTTTTTGTTTTTTTACTTCATGATATCCCATGGGCAAGTGGGTACTACGGATCACAGGCGGCCTCGGGCGGTTATGGACGGATCAGGAAAGGGAAGGGTACAGGCCATGGGGTCAATTGATTTTTTCGGCGACTACGGCGACTCTCAGGGACGGTCAAGGCCAGGCAAGACAGGGACAATTTAAACAAAGGAAGAGGAAGAAGAAGAAGAAGAAGAAGAAGAAGAAGGACACAAACGGCAAATGGCAACAGGACCGGGTCTTCAGTGCGTTGGTGAATTGGATGTACATAAAAGACAGGGGGGTCGCATCTCGACGTACTCAGGCGGACCGGATGGAAGCCGTTACAAAACAACACAAAAGCATTCATGATATAATAATATGGTGTTCCCATCTGATTGCTTGTCCAAATGAGAATCTGTGCATGCTCCCCCATAGCTATTTCGTCAACACGATGCAAGTTAATAAGCAAGCTTGACAGGGAACAAATGAGGGTTTTGACTTCGCCGTCCCTTGCTGATCATACTGGCCCTGAAAACTTAGTCGTTCTAGCCTTAACCTCTTGCAGACAAAATTCGACTTTGCCACATCCGAACTGCAGCTTACGAAACGGACCAATCAACACATTGTCTATGTCGATCACCAATTGAGATGCAAAGCAGCGAAATTGTTGGGGAAACAGGACGCCGGCTGGTCTGTTCTCTCTGGGCGCGTGACCTCATTCCACGTGCCCTAGCGAAGCGCCCCAGAATGTCAAGTATGTCAAAAAAGACGCTGTAATTCGTGATAAGCATGTTTTGGCAGGGATATGGGTTCTTTGAAAGGATGTCGTGTGAGTGTCCGTCCGTGAGGCTATTAGCCGAGGATGTGATGTTGCTTGTGGTCTAACAGCAAGGGAAGACCACCGTCGATGGTCACTTGCGACATGCGGTATTGGCATCGACGGAATTTTGTTAATATGTGGTTCTATAAATGGATGATCTACTGTACATCTCATGCTTTTGATTTCCAAAGCTATCGCAAGTTTGTGCTGGTCATGTAAAAATATGGTACAGGTATGATACAAGTGACGTGCATCGGGCAAGGGGGAGATCTGTCGTCAGCTATTCCCCCCCTTAAAATGGTGAAAATGGGGTATCGTACAGTGCATTTCCAGCACGACACCCCGGAGGACCGCGCCAAGGTTTCTGTCAATCAAGTCTCTAGCAAGAAACCCCTGTTTGTTTTTTAACGCAGGGGGTAACTCGATGGGATGTGCGAAAATGCGGGGGAGAGATGGGCGACTCCACGTCAATCGATGGCTTCTTGCTGAGAGCCATTGAGAAAAAGGCGGAGAGACGTTGGAGCATGGGCACAGAGGAAAGAGATGTGAGACATAAACACCGCCAATCTCACTCACGATGCTGCAAGCCATGGTTTCGCCGTCAAGGCGGTGACGCTCAAACTTAGTGTTTCTTTCCACCCCAACAAAGTCTTGCTTCGAGAAGACCAAAGAAGACCCTGGGGCGCAGCTCACGAGGCCGGGGCCAGGGACGGGGCGTCCGGGGAGAGTGCCGGCTGGTTAACGTCATGTATGTAGTTCTGCCCGGGTGTTTGGATAGTACTTGAGCGCTTTGACAAACATGCTGCGAGCATGAACGTTGACATTTGCCAGCTCAACCTCGAACTTATCGCCCACCTTGATATCCTTGATGAGCACGAGGCCATCGATACCGTCGGTGGATAAGAGGGCCGGCATATCGAATAGGTCTACCCGACCGGACACGCCTTGCTTCCAACGAGCATCAACTGTGAAACTCATGCGCTTCGGTGCTGTCCCTTCAAACTGCCAGGCCCGCACAACCGCCATGAGCATCCACTCCTGGGTGCCGCGAGACACAGTCCGGGCCATTCTCTCGCGCATACGCAACAGTGAGAGCGTGTTGGGGAGTGTCTCCTCCGTGAACGGCAATATGTCATTCAGATCATCAGTCTTGGGGTCTAGCCTGCGGTTCACCTGCCGCTCATGTGCCAATGCTGCGTGAATTTGCCAGTGGACAATGAGGTCAGAGAAGCGGCGAAGAGGAGAAGTGGCTTTGGTATACATGTCCAGACCGAGCATGAAATAAGGGCCGGGTTCTGTCGACATCTCGATCCCACCAGTCAAGCGTGTCAACTCCTGGCGTTGCGCTCCTGATGGAGCGATGCCCTTCTCGAGCAGAGGGTAGAGCTCTTTCGTGGCGTATTCGAGAAGTTTAGTCTTATTCGTCTGCGAATGGGCGTCTCGTCGGTATGGTAGTGGGATTTTTCGGTCAGAGCTCCATCGAGCAGCAATCTCACCGGCAAGCACCATTGTGTTACTCACCACAGAGGCACCGTTGAATGCATCGTAGCCGACCTTGATGTAGGGGTCAGCTGGCAGGGCCTTAGTTCCTTCTGTTTGCTCCATAGGGACATCTTCGAAAGCCACAGTAACGGAAGCGCCTGGCAAGAAAACAGGCCATGCCCCCTTCTCGAGGCGCCTTTTCCTGAGAGCCTGAGACAGACTGTAAAGGATCAAAAGGTCCTCCTTGCTCCTGCTATCCAACTCCTTAGCTGACATCAAGGGGCGGTTTGGTGCCACGTCCAACTTGCTAGGTGGCTCGCCAACAACAAGAGTCTGGTCAGATACTGGAGGGGGTGGAGGTTCGTTACAAAACTCAGCAACATCTCTTGGATCCAGGTACTTGACATTGCGCAAAGTACCTGGCTCGATCTTGTAGTCCAGCAGGTCTCCGTTCTCGTTAAGCCTGGCACTGAAGGTCAGAGCTGGTCGACCATCGGCAAGCGAGTATTGTTCAACCAAACTGCCCGACTTGTAATCTCCTGAATTGTCCAGACCCAGATCATCTGGAAGCATGGCTTGAAAGTGGCCAGGAAGGTAGATATTCTCAGGTATCAGCTCGAGGAACCTGCCCAGCTCAGAGTTGGGTCGAATACCGGATGCTGGATCGGCTGTATGCACGTGAATCCAGAATTCGTCAGGTCTGTCTGTTCTTTCCAAAGAGATACCATCGTCAATGAGTCTTGTAGAAGGGGCATCAATGCAGAAGACAGGGGCGTCGGCCCAGTCTCGTCTGGCATCCTTCGCCACGTCTGGTCGAGTTGAGTCCTCGACACTAACTGGAGTCTCTCGAATGAGGCCGCCTCCACTCCGTATCTTGACTTCAGGGAAACGGACTTTATACCGGGACGGTATTTCCCATGGCGGGATTATCCCCAGCTCTTGTAGGAACGTCCATGCACAAGATTGATTCAGATCGGCACCTTCGTATAGGCCCAGAGCTCGCAGAATGAGAGAACCATCAGCGTGGAAGTGTGAGGAATCTTCGAACAAGTCGTAGCTTGCCCACCACTCAAGAAAGCGTATGAACTCCATGTGCTTCCTGGACCATTCACCGTTTTCAAGAGTGACCCCTTTAGTCGGAGCGAGGATTCCGTAAGGTGTCCACGAACGCTTCTCTCTGTTAGCAAGAACAATTTGTCTTGCCTTGAGAATGAAAGTACCAAATGCCGTTTCCGACATATCAGAAGACGTCATATTTCCTGACGTCTTTGCCATTAGGTGAATATACTCGCGGATCATGAGAGTCACTCGATTTATCATCATGAAATCCTGATACGGGAAAATCTCGAAAAGATGATCCTTCCGATGGCAGTCAGTCGAAGGGCTTAATGGCCTAAAGATGAAGTCGTTTCGTAAGAGCGCTGTGTGAACTGCGTACAAAGCAGCAGGAGGAAACTGTGGGCCCCTTTTTAGTGAGTTGGGTAACAACAAGTCGGCAAGCTCGAACAGACTCAAGTATTTGGTCTTTTTCCCATCTGAGACCAGTGATCTTGCCCTGTCTAAATTGTTAAGACTTGTCTGGAAGGCCTCGTCCGCTTCCAACATGAATGTCTTCATTTTGTTGATCAGACGAGCACCGGCGTCTCGCCCGGGGCCCTGGTCTCGTTTTCGCAATTCTTCGTACTCATCCGCCGTGGCATTAAGAGGGATCAGAGAAAGAATCGGCTGCAGCTCCTTGGCGGCGGCGAACTTAGACACGGAGAAGAGCGCCGAGAAACCCATGCTGATCACCCATCTTCCAGTATTGGTATAAAAGTGATACCGTTGACCAAAGAACCCCAAGTATATAGCAAATAAGGGTGTCCGGGAGCCAGGCTGCTTCATTTCAACAAGATCGCCTGGAGCATGGGACTTGTGCCCAACAATGGCAACTTCAGCATCCTCCTTACTGTAGCTCTCATCTGTGCTCACCATACTCACTGGATCAGACTTGAAATTATCCAATTCCGATGAGCCAGTAGATTGAGGACGCGTGTTACTATTGGTAACAGTGTTCCAGAATGTAAGATCCGGCACAATTGGGGTTACCTCCCTGTCAGGGTCGTTGATAGCAACCCATTCTTGCAATCTTTGCCGAATTGGCCTCTTGTCTACTTCAGGAGAAGTTTTGGGAAGAGATGTGGGAATGTTCGTCTTTCCAAAGGCACCCCGAGGGCGGTTTTTGGTTGAGGTAGCGTACTAAGATTTGTTAGTCCATGGCATGTTAGACATAGTACGAGATGCAACAAACGCTATAACGTCCACTCAAGGACTGCAAAGGCGTAGAAAAAGAAGATCGCAATCCATTAGGGCAGTTAGGAAGACATCTGCAGCAAACATACGGACGACCTGCGGACCGCAGCATTTTTGCAGTATATCACAAATACCCTGTATCAAGCAAGGTTATTGCGGATACAACTCAAAATTTTGAAGCCGACGCGAGGCTGAAAATTTTACTAACTTGAGGTACTGCGTGTTGGCAACTTTCACAATCGCGAGGTCACATGACACTGCGCTTTCCACTTTAACTGAGGTCTATTACTAGGTAGTAGGTAGGTAGCCATTCATTTGGGCAAGAACCAACCCGGAACCCATGGATTTCTCGATGACTTAAGGTACCTACCTAGTACTATACCTAGGTAAAGAAGCTATAGTACCTTAGGTACTGAGAGAAGGTATTGGCTCCGTCTACGACCATACCTTACCTTACCTTACCTTAGTACCTGAACTTAGACTTGTACAATCACTCATCATGAATACCGCCACCGAAATGTTGCATCCGTGCACGTATGTTGGTGCCCCCCGTCTCGCCGCAAGCTTCACGGAAACCTATCAGCAAAAGGGGCTCGATTTCAAAAGGCATTGACTTCGCTACTATTATTGGCAATAATCCAAGTCGACAATCAATTCAGCCCGGAACTAGCTAATGGCGAGTAGTTCCATTCTGAGAGGTGTCTCGAGATAAAGACCTTCTCTAATTGGAAGGGTACCCTGCTCTGTCCGGCTGCCGAGCACAGCCTAAATAACTATGGCTTGGAGCCAAGAAGTGCGCGAGATTCACTTCAGACTTCATTTGGGCAAGAGATGATTCCGATGGATCGACATTCCAAATCCTATACAGGGGCTGCTATTGATCCAGAGTTTTACATACGAATGAGAAGATCACCAAAACACGAGAATATCAGTCAATTCACTGTCTGTTGACTTGATGCCAACTGACGGTTCATCGCAGAGTACAGCCCATCACAAGCTGGAAAGGCTAGAGCATCTCGGGCAAGACGAACTGCCGTGCGATGTGACGGTGAATACGAAGTGCAATTATAAGATTGAGGTTCCGACATTAAGCCTAGCTGTTTCGACCAGCGAGAACCCGACTACAGACCGACAAGCTTTTGCCCCGGCTTTCTCGGATTACTATATCTATTAATTCCCCGCACATGGAGGCTGCAAGATATCTGTTGTGCTGGGGGGTGGGTTTTTTTTTGAGACAGGAACGTCTGGCCCCGTTGCTAATACGAAGCAGCTGTTAATTACGCCAAAGGCTCAGAGAAAGTGACGACAAGGCGACTCGCTGAGCGTCACTAAAACAAATAGAACGCCTGAACGGAAACCCCTGGGTCCATAAGCGCCAAGCCACCTCCGCTAGGGTAAATTGGGGGACCATGGCAGATGCAGGAACAATCTCTTGACCCCACTCGCCGATGAACCGACTGATTCGAATTTCGAAATGCGAACAGAGTCAAGAATCGGCATGACATGAGGATCGTTGTATCGATGAATTTTTGCAATCAAGACACCGCGATAACTGGGGCGCAGTCCTTGGAGGTAACTCTACCTTGGAGATGCTAAAGACTATTCTAAGCATGATGCGCAACTTGAAAGCTCATCTCCCGCGCGGGGTTCACTTCAATCGCGCATCTCAATCGAGGTCAACTTATCTCGATTCCCCTTGTGAATAGTCAAGTGACCAACCAACGGTCAGAGAAGCCTCGTCCTTGGACTAATATCGCTTCTTATTCACCACAGGTTCTCGCAACAGAGGCAACCTTGACCGCTTAGCTAGCTGATTGGTCTCGAACACCCGACCCCCCTAAACCACCTTATTTGGGAGAGGCATGGCATCGAGAAGGTGAGCAAATGCCCCTTGGGCTGGTTGAACCCACGAGATTGCATCGTGCCCCGTGCTCCACAGCCTTCTCCTTTTCGTCCATAACCCCGGCCAAATGCTGGGGTTTCTAGCGCTGTCAAGGTAATGATAGACATATTGCACCAACAATGGTCCACGTTTGGGACTGGGCGACTAGCACCCCAGCTCATTTCATGAGGCACAGGGCACATGAGAACAGGCCAGGGACAAACGGGTACCTGAGTTTTGGCCTCCAGCCGCCGCTATTTTGCATCATGTCAGGTACCATCTAAACCGCCATTCTCGACTAGGGCCATCCTTTGTCAATGCCATGACCCTCTGGGCACTGCAGCCAAGGCAAAACAGACCGGGTTGCAGGTAGAGGCAATAACAGTCGATCTGCTCTTAATATGCCGCTCTCCTCCTGTTCTTTTCTCTGCTTTTTCTTTTCCCTCACGGTTCCATCCTTCGCGAATCTAGAGAGCATCTCGTTAATTTTCGCTTTCGTCCTCTCGTTTTCCTCTATTCCATTAACCGCTTCACTCTTTTAGCGGGCATTCGTTTCCTACGCCAACTACAAACTCTCACATTTACGTACAGTACTTGAATTTTTGGAGCTTTTTTTTTCAACATGAAAGGAGGACTTGCTGCTGCCGCCGTTGCGGCCATGGCCACTGGTGCTCAGGCCGCTTACCCTCACCACCGCCGGGCTCATGAGATGTTCCGACGTGGCGGAGAGGTCTGCGTTCCTACTTGCACCACCATCTGGACTACTTACTATGGCGAGCCTACTCGTATGTCAATATATCGGTTTTCTGTGGTATAAACGCTAATCGCTGGTTCAGTTGTCCCCAACCCTCCTTCTGCCCCCAAGCCCACCAAGGAGGCTGTCACCACTCATGAGGCCGTCAAGCCCAAGCCCACCACCGTTCATGAGATTCCTACCTATGAGGCTCCCAAGCCCGTTGCTCCTACCACCACCAAGGTCGTCCCGGTCATCCCCGTCCCGACTCCGGAGGAGTATAAGTGCCCTACTCCAGGCACTTACACGTTCCCTGCCACCACCATGACCGTGACTGAGTCCACCACCGTCTGCGTTGGCGAGACCACCAAGGTCCCTGCTGGAACCCACACCATGGGAGGTGTCACCACCATCGTTGAGACTGCGACCACCGTCACTTGCCCCTACGCCAAGGAAACCGAGCACGAGGGTGTCGTTACCAGTGTCATTGAGACCACCACCTACGTCTGCCCATCTGCTGGCACTTACACCATTGCTCCTATCACCAAGACCTGCGAGGAGGAGACCGTTATCGTCTACCCTGTCCCTACCAGCTACGTTCCCGGTACTTACACCGCCCCTGAGCAGGTTGTTACTGTCACCGAGACCGACTACGTCTACGTCTGCCCTTACTCTCAGTCTGGTGTTCCGGCTACCACCAAGGCTCCCGAGGCCCCCAAGCCTCAGCCTCCCAAGGAGACCAAGCCTGTCTACGAGGCTCCTAAGTCCCAGCCCGAGGTCACCAAGCAGGAGCAGCCTACCAAACCCGTTTATGAGGTCCCCAGCAAGGTCCCCGAGACTCCCAAGGCCCCTGTTTACTCTGTTCCCGAGACTCCTGCTTCCACCAAGCCCGTCTACGAGAAGCCCTCCGAGGCCCCTAAGCCCAAGACCCCCAAGAAGCCTTCCAGCCCTGGCAACCTCAAGGGTGGAAACGACCACTACGGTATTACCTACACCCCCTACGTTGCCTCTACCGGCAAGTGCAAGGGTGCCGACCAGGTTGACAAGGACATTGCTGCCCTCAAGGAGGCTGGTTTCCAGATCATTCGATCTTACTCCACTGACTGCGATACCCTTGAGACTGTTGCTCCCGCCTGTAAGAAGCACGGCATTGACATGATCGTTGGTGTTTTCGTCAAGGCCTCTGGCTGCACTTACGAAACCCCCGAGATCAAGGCTCAGGTCGATGCCTACGCCGAGTGGGCTCAGTGGGATCAGGTCAAGCTCTTCACCGTTGGTAACGAGGCTATCATGAACAAGTTCTGTTCTCCCCAGCAGCTTAAGGAGCTCGTCACTGTCGTCAAGGAGAAGTGCTCTGGTTACACCGGTCCTTACACAATCGCCGAGACCCTCGACATCTGGGAGCGTGAGGATGTTCAGGGTGCTATCTGCGATATTGTTGATGTCACCGGTGCCAACATCCACCCTTACTTCAACCCCAACACCACCCCTGACATGGCCGGTGAGTTCGTCGCTGGCCAACTTGAGATCCTCCGCGGTATCTGCAAGGGCAACGATGTCATCAACCTGGAGTGTGGTTGGCCCTCAAGCGGTAACTGCAACGGCGTTGCCTGCCCTGGCAAATCTGAGCAGGCCAAGGCTATCAAGTCCATTCGCGAGAGCTGCGGTGACAAGACCGTCTTCTTCTCCTTCGAGGATGATCTCTGGAAGGAGCCTGGTTCTTGCAACTGTGAGCGAAGCTGGGGTTGCGCCTCTTCTTTCACCGGCTACTAAGCAGTTCTGGATACTCCAGTTCTGATTGCAGCGTGCCCAAGCGTCCTCTGTACGATTCAACCCTCGGAGCATGCTGAATGTTGTACATATTCATGACCAACACCGCCCGGCCATTCACTTCTTCTTTCTTCCTCGTGCAACCCTCTTCTCTTTTCTCGCCACCGTCCATGCGGTGATTCACATCATTGACATCCAACAAGAGCCTTCGGGAATGGAGTCCGAAAGCCGACGGTCTTCTATCTCTCAGGTCAACTCTAGACATCCGCCTCAGGGGGCAATGCATTGTTGCACGTGTGCATGCGTGCAATAATTCGAGGGAAACGAATCTGGTCGGGCGGTCGAGGACGACCTTCTTGATGAATCCTGTTTTTCTTCCACTGTTCAAACGACATGTGAACCCTTGTTACTATGTCATCTTTCCATATGTGTTATTTGCGGCAGCACCTTTTTACGGTAGACGCGTCTTTACGGCTCTTGAGCGACGGGGTAAGCGGAAGCCTTTTGTTGGGAGAGAGATGATCTGTATGTATGATCTATACTATAGCCGGGTTGCCATTCAGCCTCTGCTTCATAATGCTGTAATTCACTAGTATATCTTCAGTCGCCATTCTGCTATGTCTCGTGAGCTATCGTCTACACAGTCCTATCCAAAATCGTCTCATCCTAGTATCAGCTGATGACCAAACTCCCACGCGACTGAAACGTCAAACTACCTGACACATTA